AACCTGCCATCCCCTTATTAAATGGTTTGTTGGGATGGCTAATCAGCTGTTCATTTTCTTGTGATAAGAAGGAACCAGAAAACGGTCTTCCTCCAGCAGAGCAGTAGCCTTTCTGTTACTGTGTGGGGTGGATGTTCAGCTCCTTTGTCCCTGTTTGGCTCTTAAATGTCTCGCTTCTGCGAAGTCATGGCAGTCTGCTTCAATTTAATATGCCCCTTGTGCCGTTAGTTCTGCGTGGATGATGTTAAGAAGTCTTTATCAATAAATCACAAAAGCTTGTTTGAGGGGAAGAGGCAGCGGGCATAAACTGAACCACAGGAAGTTCCATCTGAACCTGAGGAAAAACTTCTTGACTGTGAGGGTGACAGAGCATTGGACCAGGTTGCCCAGAGAAGTAGTGGAGTCTCCTTTGCTGGAGATGTTCAAAACCCCTCTGGATGCGATCCTGGGCAATATGCTCTAGAGGACGCTGCTTGAGCAGGGAGGTTGGACTAGATGATCTCCGGAGGTCCCTTCCAACCTCAACCGTTCTGTGATTCTGTGAAAGTGAGGTGTTTGTTCCCCAGCTTACCCATTTGGGCCCATGAAGAGCGCAGGCTACAGCAGTGTCGCGGGTGCTGGATCGGCCGTGTCTGGTGGTCCAGGTTGCTTCACGAGCGGGCAGCAGTGAATCGGCTTGTAGCCAGGCATAGTTATCCTGAACAGCTTTGAAGAACATGAGGAGTAAATTGATATGAACTGCTAAAAGGCAGTTGGAGTTGGGCAGTTGAATCGGAGACACCTCCGGGTACGTAAGGTGTCTGGATAGGACGGAATAAAACCTCTTTGATGCGAAACCTATTCCAGTGGACCCTGGGGTATCCCAAAGGAACGTGCTTTCCTGTGGCCCACATGGGAACAGAGGGGCCTCATTTTTCGTCTGACAAATGAGAGGAGGCTACTTGGGCTTTTCCCTTCTCTACAAAATGTTTAACTCACCTCTTGACCTTTTCTAATGGTTTGTCCTCTGGCATTGCTGTACCTTGCAGAGAGCAGAGGAGTACTATTCAGGCAAAACCCAGTTCTGTGAGCTAGCCATGTTATGAACGTCTCTGGGTCCTTCTGGCAAGTGTGAATTATATCTCACCTGCAAAGGGGCACTTGACGCAATACCCTTACCTAAGCATCAGGGTGTTGTACAGAGGTTGTGCTGTTATTGCTAGAGATTATTATGGGTTCTGTTGTACAAAGACAGGAGAATTTGAACCTTCATCAGGATTAGGGTTAGGAAACAATTCCTTGAGGTAGGAGCCTCAAGGAATTGTGCTTTCTGCTTCTGTGGGTATCCGTTGGAAGAATTTGATTAGTAAGCTACTGGTACAGTACGAGCAGCCGAAGGTGTAATAAGGTGCAATAGCAAAGGTCACAGCTGGATAAATGCACACTGGAAGTTACAAGTGTGGAGGTATTTAGCTACTGGAACAGTCTATCAAGGTTTGTGATGGACATTTTATCCCCGGGAAACTTTAAAAATCGAAACAGCTCGTTTTTCCTAGAAGTCTTGCATTCCAGTTCAACCACAACTGCTGACCTGGAAGTAGGTATTAATTAGCAGATGTCTCCTAGTCTGTGCTGTTCAAGATGTCAGGCTATCAGATTACGATGATCTTTTAACACTTTATGCCTACAAGAAAAATAGGTTTGTGCTTTGAGTTTTTCTTCTTATGCTGAAGACCAAAGTAAAAAAGAAGAGTTTAAAGACAAAAAGAAGTTGAGCACTGTTCTGGGGGCCAAGGCTCCGGGTGTGCTGGTTTTGACTCTGATAATGCTCGTTGTGTGGCCACGGACAAGTTGCTAATCCACGGGTGCCTCAGTTTGTCAGTCTTGCCAGTTCGGGGGGACTTCACTCACCTAATAGGACGACGTGTTTTTAACATGCTATTAATGGTAATGCATAATAATTACAAGTTTTCTACAGCTATTTGTTTATGACAAATGAGAGTATTTGCGTTTAGAGTAAATGCCCATTTTCCAGACCTACTTCATTTAACTCCTGGGAGATGTTTTGACTCTTCAAAAGAGGATTTTTCTTGACTTGGGGCCACCCTTGTGGTACTCCATCCCGCCAAGTTCAATGTTCTTCTGGATAGAATAAAATGTGTTTATGGATTTTGATGAAACTTGAAAATTCTTTGGATTGTTAACCTTGCTGTGTTACGGGAAAATGAATAAAGTTCTGACTCAGTTGAAGATGACTGACCTGGGGGGGAGAAAGGAATATTGTGCATACCACAGTTTGGATTGCAAGGAAAGTATTTCTTTGATTTGTCTCTCATACATATACTTGTTGAATTATTACCACTGTCTGGTATCAAGTGGTACACTTAAGGATGAGATGTGGTCTCAGTGCCCCTGCGCATAATTTCCCCTTGTTACTGCTCCCCCTCCCCCCCCCCCAATCAAACCAAGCATTTCCAGAATTAAAGGTTGTCTCCCTCTCAGTCTAGAGCAAGTTATTTGGGCAGCTTAAAGGACATGGGTTTTTCTTCTTGCTTTAAAGTAAACCTTCCCATCCTTCTCACTTTTCCTACAGATTGCAACATACATTTTAATTTTTACAAATTAGAAAAGCCCAACAAACCAAACCCAGACAGTCTTCAATACTGTTAATACAGTATTGTATATGTACTGTAATACAGTATTAAATTATTAATAATTTAATAATAAAGTCAATACTGTTAATTTTCTCATCACGTAGGCTTTGAAAATCTGGCAGTTCTGCAGTGCAGGTTGAATGTTTTTAAGCATTACCTAAGTCAGCTCTTAGAGAAAGTCCCTCCTTTGCCTCTTCTCCGTCCGGGTCCATGTGTCACGTTCAGTCCGTGGTGTTTGAACACCTACAGTAGTATGCGCACAACCTGCAGTTTAGCAGTTCATTATTTCTGCACGGATATTTGAGTGTGCAACATTCTCTTCTATTTCTCTTCTGATTTCCAAAGAGATAAAGTGAAAAATCAGTTTTAGGACTGATAAAATCCGAGCAATTTCAAACTAAAGTTTAAGCTGCGATGTCTGTTTGCCATTACAGAGGTTTTAACCCCTTTTTGTGCTTATATGATGTTTACATATCCTGTTTTCCTTGGCAAAGGAAGGTGGTGTGTGCATCTCCTGTGGCCCATGCTCCACATACTTTGTAGGTAGGTGTTCACGGATCTGCTGGTTCCTTGCAGAGCTGGGCAGCCCAGCCCAGCTCTGAGTTGTGGTTTATGCCTGACTACCCAGGATTTAACATTTTCCAGAAGTTTTTTGGCCTTCAGTTGTGCAACTACCGTAATTTGGTGTCACTGGCAGGTTTCTGTGTTGTTTACTACCGCTCTTTGTAACTTTTTGTTGCCTGTCTGCTCTCTCCATCTTCTGTATTTAGCTGTTGTTTCGTCTCTTTTTAATGTTTGTTCCCTTCATTTTCTAAGGATTGCAGATACAATCAATGGAAAATAATTGCCAAGATATTCTTCAGTCTTCTGCTATCTCCAAATGATAAGGTACTTTGCACTTGATATATCTATTCTCTTGATCACTCACTTTGATAATAACACATACCTAATTTTTGGTCTGCCCTGGGCTTCCTTTGCAAACTCAAGTTTCCTGACTGGGTACTTACAGATTGCTAACCTTTGCTCCTGTGGAAGAAATCAGTCTAGTTCTGCCTCGCAAAGGAAAAACTCCAAATTTTCCAATTTGTTCTTCTGCTGTGGTATGAAACCAGATCAGTTTTTCACCAACCTTCTTAAATTTGGACACCCGGACCAAGTTCAGCATATTAGAAGTCATGCCAGTATTTGTGTACTTATACATGTAGATTGTGCTATCTGCTGAATTAAAATGGCTAGCAGTTCAAGATATTTTGCATCCATCTGCAACATGATGACCTCACTTACCTTTTCCTCAAATGCAGAATATACAGCAGATTTTTTTTCCCTCCAGTTCTGCATTTCTACAGGAAAAAAAAAAAAAACACTTCCTTTTAGTAGAGGAACAATCCATTAGAATGTTTTACCCTTTAGTGTGCTTCAAAAAAGAAATTCTTTTTAATCTCGACTCTGCCAGTATTGATTTCTTCACATATCCTTTTGCTTCCCGTATCAGTTATCTGTTCTTCCTGACAGCAGATTTCTGTTTGTTAACTTCAGCTTTTCTCTTTATTCCATTTGTCACATTTTTGTTTTTTATAGCTTCCTTAACTTCCCTCTGAGCCAGGTTGCTTTTTAACTAGTGTGGCCTTCTTTTTCAGTTGTGGGATTGTGGCTTTTTGAGCATCTAGTTAAAATGTTTTTAAACAATTTTCAATTAGTCATCATATTTTTCTGATTACGTTCTTTTTCCCAACTGATTTGGCTCATAATTATTTTCAGCTTGGTGAAACTGGCCCCTTTTAAAAGTGTGTGTGTGTGTGTGTGTGTTTAGTATTGGTAGTACTAATATATTTTATTCCTAGTTTAGGTGCTTTTTCATTGCCTGTAAATGCATGATCAAGTCATGGTGATTTGCTTTTTAGCTGTCAAAAGGGTGGGATGAAACATGGCTGCCCATTTGAAACTCGCATATGGACTCTGTTTCCAAACGTAGATCAGAGCACAGGATCCCGACGTAAGGATTTGTCGCCATTTAGCTGAAGGAACTGTTAGCGAAGTGATGTGGTCTCCGTCTCTTTATCCTCTGGTGTCTTGACAACCTGAGCTCCTTCTGCTCTTCTGTATGGTCCCTAAGGTAGTGCTTGTTAGCTCAGGGGGACTTTAAAAAGTAGTAAATGCTGCCTTGATGCTGGCTTTGGAAGTGTTATTGTCCATGTCAGAGGTATGAGCACGAGCGCCTAGAGAGATAGGAATGAGCAGCATCGGCGTGGATGTGCGGTCTGCCAAACCGGTGGCAGAGGCAGGTGGAGGGGCAGCGCTAGCTCGAGCCTTCTGAGAAGCCCAGCACGATGCGTGTTGGGGGATGCCGACGTTTCCGATGAACGAACCGTAAAAACGGGCGAAAGCACTAATCGCTCTGAGAGCGGTCAACACGACCCAAATAGCATGGGCAAGCCAAAGTCCAGAGGTGACACCTCCAAGCAGGGCAGGAGATGTCAACTCCTGCATCTCCTCCACTGGCGCAGTTCTCAGGGAGATCCTTCACCAGAAACGGGCGTTTCCAAACGCATTGGAGCCGGCGTTGGCTCAAGCACGTTTGCTGGGGCGTGAGGACACGTCTAGAGGCTGCAATGGGAGGGCCCAGCCTCGGTTACCCGTTAGCTGACCTTTGCTCACGCCAAATGGGAATGATCAGAGCGGTGAAGGCAAATGATGAGCAGTTGGGCTCCATCTGCAGATGGTTAATTACCAGTTCACACAATATGTTGTTAGGGGTCATCTGTTTCCAGTTTCATCATAAACAGAAGTAAATGTTGAGAACATACTTTTCTACATCCAGTTTCACTTGTTGTGGATACTTGGAATAGTTTGCAACCCACATCTTTTGGTTTTCGAGGAGGGCTTTTGGCTAGAGAACCCTGCGACCATCTGAGATTTTTTTTTTATTTTTATTTTTTTTAAAAAAAGTGCCCTGGAGGTTGCGTTGTAGGGACTTTCCTTATGCAAAACATGAAAGTGCTGTTTTTTAAAATTATAACCATATTTTTCATTAAAATCAGTTGGAGTCCCAATAAACAATCGACTCTGAAAATTTTCCAAATGTTTGCTGCAGTGCTGTTTCTATTTTTAATTTTTTTAAGTTTTTTTCTTAAAACACAGCTTGCCTTATAATTTAAAAAGTGATCTAGTAAATCAGGAAAAATGCACATGTATATACGTCTTTATTACAGTATAATTAAAACCTACTGAATATTTGAATATAAGAATACTTCTGTGGGAGTGTCCGATGATTTCTGCCATTTGGCTTATCGTGGGAACTTCTTTTTTTGTTGCCGGCTTTCCTCAAAGACTCTTCCAGTGTGTTTATACATTTGTTTTATATAAATTGAGAGCAGTGTACGTATACGGAGAGAACTTTGCAAAATAACTGAGGCGCAGAAATGTCTGGATCGTAGACACCAAGGCATGGTTTCCACGCTCTGAATCAGACTTTGGTATTGTCACTTTTACTCCCTAATCACAGGTTTAATCATAGCGTCCTGTTACCTGGTGCCAGGCTTGTTTGTTGTCCAAAAAAAAAAAAAACCCCAAACCAAAACAAAAAACTAGTTTTAATTCAAAATTTGTCATATCTTCCTTATAGAAAACAAGCAAAGATCTCTTTGTAAGATACTGCGGTTAAAAATCCCTTTTGCATTGTAATGCAAGCTGGAGACCAAAGCGCATTAGAGGATATTCTAGCACTGTTTCTGTGAAACGCCAAGTGTCTGAGGCAAATAGTCCTTTCCAGAAAGAGCAGGCCGTAGGAGAAAGCAGTGGAGATGGAGACTGAATGTGTGGGTAATCTCTCCCTGCTGTGGAAAAAATGGGGCAGGAGGAGGAAACTGCAGAGTCACTAATTCAGATTTCACCCACCTTCATTCTGCTTTCAGCTTCTGAGCCAGTGACTCCCGCGTCGACTCGGCTGGAAGTCCGAGCCGTGAAACTTGTTACAGCCTATCTCAACCACGCAGGCAGATCGGCCAGTTAGCGATGCTGCCTTTCTACTAGCGAGATGAATGTCTGTGGTTGTCGAGAGAGATCTGAACTGCCAAAGGCATGGGATGTGGGAGGTTAAATATGAGGACTTGCTGCTTGCTGGAAGTCTGTGAAGACAACAGCTCAGCTTACAGATTTGTGCTTTTTTTCATATCTGTGAATACCAAAAACCTTCTCAAAGCTGCTAGCTAATGTTATTCACGCTTCTCTGTCCAAAGCTTCTGCCGCCTGCATGTTTCTGAAAACGTCCCACCACGGATGCAAAGCTCATTGATCTCTTGAGCGGTTTTGAAGCGTTACCTGTTACAACTGCGTTTGTCTGTGCATGGGTTCTGTTTGGTTTCTGGCGCTGGCACGTGGTTCAAATCACTCTATGCAGCCAAGCAAGCAGTCGCTATGCTTCTGATTTTTGGCTCAGCGAGATGGAGCGTGCCCAAGCCCAGAATTCATGGATCCGGTGCCCAGCATTTGAGTTTCATTGACAGTCTCCACCATAGCAAATTGTTCTCTTGCTCCTTGCCTTCCAGGGCAAGGAAGAAGGAGAAAGTGAATTTGCTGAAGTAATTTCAGTGTTACTCTTTTCAGGCTATTACACTTCTCGTGAACAATCCAAGGCATCACGTGCTGGTAGGTCTGCAAAGTTATTTTGCTTTTCATCTGTTCCAGACTCATTCCTATTATGGGGCTTATTTGAAAGTGCTTTAAAGTGTTTCCGTTTTCTTCTGAGATAGTCTGATGTGGGGTATGTGATTTTTCATTTAAAAGAGCCAGAATGTGGTAATGTGACAGCTGTCCTAGGTGTGCAATGAGGGTCACCTTGTAATGGTATGAAAGGCCCTGATTTGTTGCTACACATGGTTCACAGGTTCTGAATTTTGATCCTCTGGTGTATTTCCATTCAACATTGTGGGTCAGAGCTGCTAGTTTGCTACACGTTTCCTGAAGAATAAAAATGTATATACGTTTGCTGCTTTGATTAGTAAGATTTTCTGAGTACCCTGAAAGGCTTTGGGCTGGGCTGTGAGTTATGAGTAGTGCTCTTGCTTTTGGAGACAGATGTTGTATTCAGCTGAACTTGGTTAGATGGAAACCAAGTACTGAAGTACCACCTGTACCCATTGCTTCAGCCAGGCTAAGCAGCCTCCAGCAGTAAACACGTGAAAAGAATTTTGCCCTTGTTCTCTCTGTTAAATAGAGAACTAACTTTTCTTTGGCGATCCTGCTGAGCAGCATTATCTTCCCCCTGGCTCTATAAGTCATAGGCACTGAGCATTTTCACTAGACCTCCCACAAGGGTGACTGTTGTGTCGGAGTCACTGAAATGCCTTTCTTGGTGGCTCCATTTAGATGATGAATGATTTTAGGAAGTTAGTGAGAGCCACAGTTTGGTTACTTCTTAGTCTGAGCTACCTTAACCTCTTTCTCTTCCTTATGTTCCTTTATTTTTTTTCCCCTCTAAACCCTTTACACTGGGCAATTCTGACAAAAATTTGGAATGAAATCTCTGCCAGAAGCCCCACAGAAGACTAGAGATCCATTTTGCTCAAAGGGCTTGGGAGGAACCTGAAAAGATGGTTTTTATATTGAGATTAGAGTCTCTTGAATCACGTCTTCCTCGCCTTTGCTGAGTTCTTAATCGTGCTTTGCTGAGGAGAGTAAACAATTTTGTAAGACCATCGTGATGCTCTACCTCCATTTCACATTTTTGCTGTTGACTTCTGTAGAGGATAAGCTTCCATCAAGATAAATGCAAATTTGTGCTGGCTTTTCAGACACAGACATAGCCCAGTAGTCCCTTTTTAACTGAGAAGCTGGGAAGATTGTTTTTATCTTTGGTAACTCTTTCCAGAAGACCTTAATACAAAGCTAGT